CGTTCCGCGCCGCGCACTACACAACACAAACCGCGTACCACACACTACACTGCACTACACAACACTACACAACACAACTTAATATAAACCGCGGATTTCGATTCCACGCACTATCGCGCAATAAAAAAATAAAACTGGAAAAAAATTTATAATTAGTAAATCTGATTAATGACTGAATATTAATTCAGATTGTAGAGTTCGAGAGCTATTGAATGTCCGTATTCGTTGGCGACTGCCTTCGAAATGAGAAAAGACAAACGATGACGAGTGGCGAGAAAAGCAGACACATTATTAAAGTGCCGAACGCGCGGCTTACGAAGCATACATTGTAAAGCCCCGACATTTTTACTTTCCGATTTATGTAGGCATAAGTACGATAATGGAAAAAAATGTCCAGAATTTTGTTTACAGAAATACACGTTTTAAAACTCCCCGATCATAAATATTTCTTTTTACTTAATATTTAAAATATGACACCCAGAACGTACATGGAAATTGTTACGATGGAGGACCCTCAGCTGTGGCCTGCTCGTTCACCTGATTTGAACCCCCTTGATTTTTTCTACTGGGGTCACTTAAAGGATTTAGTTTACTCAACACCAGTAAACTCGCTCGACGAACTCAATCGCCGGATTACGTTTTCAGCTGGTATTATTGAGTCACGAGAAGGGGCTCATTTAGAATATATGCGACGAAATTTCCAGAGAAGAATGCAGCTGTGCCTACAAGAGAATGGTGGCCACGTGGAACATCTTTTGTGAGGCAGTTCTCTCTATGTATGTGGACACTCGCGGACGGGACAATCGCGGTGCGCGTACACGTGGACACTCGCAGACGGGACAATCGCGGTGCGCGTGTATTATTTAATTGAATAGTGGTGCTCGTCGAAAAGTATTTACTTGTGGACACTCGCGGTCGGGACAATCGTGGTGCGCGTACACGTGGACACTCGCGGACGGGACAATCGCGGTGCGCGTATGCTCGCGTGTGGTTTTTTTTTGGAAAAAAAGTATGATGGTTCGTGTGCAACAGTATTTATTTGTGGACACTCGCGGTCGGGACAATCGCGGTGCACATACACGTGGACATTCGCGGACGGGACAATCGCGATGCGTGTATGCTCGCGTGTGGGTGATTTTTATACAGAAAAAAATGTGTGTGTTAAAAGAGGCATTCACCCTCTCTCTGTGAACATCTTGTCGGGCGAGTATTGATATGCCCCTCTGGATGTTCATAAGACTGGTTGAATCCTATTCGACGATATGCGTTTACCTTCCTGGGAGTTGACGCAAAAACGAGGGGCTGTCGGATTTCATTCAACGTACCACGTTCGCCGTCCTGAGAGTTGACGCAGACACGAAAGGCGATCGATAAGTCGGTAAGCTCGGTTCCTGTAATACATCGTCTCCTGACCTCCCACGCTTACGCGTATGCTCGATGGTTGCCATGATTCATGCGGAACTTTAAATGTTAATAACTTTGTAACGAAGCCTCCATCAACAAATTAGTATACTTGATTTTCGTCTTATTTTGGCCTCTACTATAGCTCATTAAAATTTTTGCTAGAGGTGGCCGAACACCCTGTATAAAAGATTGCTGTAAAAAATAAAAATATACTTTTGCTTTTAATTGCCAAATAAGTTACAAGCACACCGTACACATAAATCTTTAAAGTTTATTAAAAGTAAATGAATTAAGATTTTTTAAAATTTATTTAAAAGTAAGTTTGTGTCAGATATTATTATGTTAATAGATTTCTTCTCCGTCGATTGGATAAAGTTATTGAAATCTCGTACAGATTTTTAGCATTAAACGTCCGAGATTTTTGGAATATTTACTCTCTTCTCATTCCTCGCATGGCTATGTTATTCCAACGGGATTGCCAGCAAAGTTTGTATAGAATGTCTACGTATTATGTAGAGTTGCATGCTCTCTGCGCGTATTTTCCATTATGCATTTCATGTCAGAAGTCCATTTCATCTTCCGTCGTGCAAACATTTATATTCCCGACGACGAGTCGTTTAACCGATCGTCTTGCATATTGTTCTGTCGATCAATTGCTTCGCCACATGGTTGAAATTCACGATATTATGGGAAATTCTGTTCCACAAAAACACTATAGCGACGCAAATTCAATCAAATGAGAAATTTATTTCAAATCATAATTTAAAATTAATCAATTGAGTAATTTCAGCGGAATTTATGTCAAATAGTAATTTAAAAATAATCATTCGAACAATCTGAACGAAATTTATTTTAAATAATAATTTAAAAATAATCATTTTAACTAATGTTAATCGGTATTTTACAAACAATGTATTTCAATTAATTTTAAGTTCTTCATTTGGTCAATTAATAGTAAATTAAAATATGTACTGCTTATTCGTCAGAAAATTAATTAAAATTAACGTTGAGAAAAAGCATTGAATGGAATAAATAGTTTCACGTGTAAAAGTTGATCCAATACTAATCGTCAGTTTACGTTTCATGAATAGTAACGCTTAATAACAATAATAAACACAAACCATAATAGTGAATGGATTCTAAGAAGCGTTCTAAGAAACGTAGCAAGAAGTGTAGCAATAATATAAAGGGAGACAAAGCATATTAAAAACAAATAAGTAATAATAAATAACGGTGTCAAATAACAAATAATTTATTTCGTGAAGTGGTAAATAAACCATTCAATTGGAAATACGTTAATTCACTTTTCATATGAAATATGTTCAATTATGTATGTTTAAAAGTTCTATTGTATTTGTTCTCTGCATTAACTGCAAAAAACTTTTATGCATTATCGTTTACATCATTGTTTTAGAGCGTGTTTTGTTATGCATGAATAATTTTCACCTACGTTTATTAGTATCTATGTGGAAAATTGTCGGTTTAACAATAATATGACAGACAGATAATAGCATTTGTATCTTATGGTTATGGGAGTATTAATTACTACTGGAAATTTATTAATATTTGTTTTAATGACGTTTACTGAGCAATTTCTTTGGAATATAATAAAAATGTATATGTTTGAAATTCCTCTGAAAAGAATAATAAAAATACGATCTTGAAAGGGCTCAAGCTGTGATTAGAACAAAGTTAATTAGTTGTTCAAGGTTATTGAGAGGATCCCCATTATATCGATTGACTATACCAGTGGTTCTCAAATTATGAACCGTGGGATATTTTAAATTTGTTTTTAATACGGTCATTCATGTCTCTATAAGTTAATATTTGGATTTAAAATTTGTAAGTTTGCTTAAAACTCAAAATAATTAAAAGCTATTTACGATCTAACATGTTGCAGAAGCGTTTAACAAATTTATCTATATTGCGTATAGAAAATGATATTATGGTTAGTTTGAGATTGATGAATAAGGTAAAAGTATCAGACGATATGATTTAATTTTGTTATTATATGCACTAACATTTATGAAATTTTTCAGTTATAATGTTGCATTGTTATTTTACTATTTAGTTATGTTTTTTAATTTTCTTTTGTAATAAGTTGCAGTCTTAGTGCTGTATGACTATTATAACAAATACAATTATTGTATTTTATTTTAAAAAGTCATTATGTTGGTGCAGTGAGAAAAAACAAGCGATTAGAAGTAATAAACGATAATATATTTAATACGAATACATAGTAGGAATATATGTATGTTAATAATTATTAACGTAAATAAGAACAAAATATAACACACACGGCGCATACAGCGAGCAAGCTGAGACTACAAGGGCGCCGCCCAACGGTGGCCTCAATAACACGCGTTTTTCGGCTGATTCACGCGCGCGAATTATAACTAGTCTACACATTATTTACATATGCAGTCGGTGTTTAGCGTTTATGTTTAGAAGTAATGTATTTTCTAAATTATGTTCACTAATACTAGTCACAAATGAGAACATTCAAAACATTAACCCTAAAGTGGATTATTGGAGCCGCTGTGGCCCTCAGCAAGTTTAAAATAATAATTATTTCATATATGTCAATGTAATTATTTGAAATTTATGTAATCTTCTATTAGTTCATTATTTTTTAAATACTTTAAAGGAAAGTTGATTTCCATTTACCAATTTGGTAAAAATCAACATTAAGTAAAATAATTCAGTTGAGATTGAGAGTCTACTTAAGGGTTAAATGCTCGTTTCACATTGATATCTTTCTCACGAAAGTATTTGTTATACATTCCATTATCTTTATAACTTTTACAAGATTATCACTAACAGATAACAATATATAATATTGTGCAACGAATAAATAAATTTAACTCTAAGCTAATCACAGAAACGTTTTGTGTACGATATCAGTACTACTGACTAATTCATTGCTATTCTTTGCGAAAACAAATTTTCCCACGCACTCCATCTGATTTGCTAATGTTCGTATGCAACCAGAACTTTGTATAAAACGGTTCAAAGCCTTAACCTCAAACCTATTTAACAATCAATAGTGAATATGTTTGCAAAAACTTTTCCAAAAGCGGAATTCAACTGTTTCTGTTTAACTGAAACTATTTCTCATTTTTAGAAAATAAAAATGTTCTATCTACGCATAAATATATGGAATATAAAATTGTTTTCTACGATCAGAAAAGGTAAAAGTAAAAAAGTAACTGTTATATCAGAACCAATTGAAAGTTTTAACAGTTTCATTCAAGTCTTGTTCCCAAGTTTATATTACTATAATCCGAAAAATGAGCTAAACGTGTGCTTAAATCCACTCAACGAAAATTTCAGTTACTCGAATGAAAAGTTAGAAGTAGTGCAGATAATTAGTGGATTCCTATTACGTAAATTCACCGGATTATACGAATTGCTTGTCTCTCGTTGGGTCCATTTAAATGGAGTTTGCCTGCAAATACGAGCGTCGTTCGAAAAAGAGTGACGCGACCCCCCGTGGAGTTTATGCGTCACTCGAATTCGACTGACATGGCAGCGAATGTGTTGAGACGATTCCGTCGGAGACTTCTATCGAATCTTCTCGCTTGAAATTCTTTCAGGTTAGCCAGCCCCTACGGTCACGGACGGTGACGTAAAATCGACGGGAGGACGTGGTGCTGTTCAATGCGTAACGCAGAGCGTCGCAGGTAAATGAAATTGCGACGCTGCGACGGAAACCACAGTTCCTCGTAGCAGAGCGTTGGAACGACCACCCACCTCACGATTCGTTCAACTGAGTGTCCGTGCGTTCCTTTGGAGACTCGTTGCTGTCAGTAACAACGATAAGGGACAAGAATCTTCGTCGGAGTCTCGAAAGGTATGAAAACTCGTTTCTTTCGAGAAAAGACAATGTCAACCCTTTGTGTTCCATTGGCGCCGCTGATTATGGCAACAGAAATTGAATTTAATGGGGAAAATTTTGATGGGAGATTCTAGACGCCAAAACAAGACGAAAATCAAGAATATTAATTTGTTGATGGAGGCTCTGTTAAAAAGTTATTAACGTTTAAAGTTCTGCCCGTACTGAATTTTTTTCTAGAAAGTGGGTAAGAATTCGAAAGTAGGTCCATTCACCAAAAATGATTGTAATTGACCCCCGAAAATAATTTTTCCAGAACGATTTGAAATTTTTTAATTTTGTCGAAAAATTTAGGCACTACTTTCTTAAAAATTTGTTTTTCATTTTTAATAAATTTGTTTTACGCTCTACAGAAAAGATATCTAATATTTTTTTGTAGGTACCTATGGGCTCTGCTTCAGAAAGAAATTTAAATGAGATACTTTTACTATTGTAGGAGTTATGGCCGTTTGAAAATTGGACCAGTTTTAGGGGGTTTTTCTCATTTTACGGTGTCAAGGAATAACTTTTTCAATATTGTTAGAATTTCTACATATTCTCCACTAAAATATGCGTCGTTTGCATTTTGAAAAATTAAAATCCTCTAATCCGTTCAGGAGTTATGCCATTTTAAAGATATGCTAGAAATTTCAGGGAAGCATTTCTGGCCTCACATTAGATTTTAGGTAATGAATTTTTTTCTCGAAATTGCGTAGGATTTAGGGGTATGTCTTTTCACCAAAAATGATTGTAATTGATACCCGCAACCGAATATAATTTTTTCAGAATGATTAGAAATTTTTTAATTTAATTTTTTAATAACTTTTTAACGAAGTCTCAGTCAAGAAATTGATATTCTTGATTTTCGTCTTAGTTTGGCCTCTAGAATCTCCCATTAAAATTTTTCCCAGGGGTGGCCGAGCAGCCTGTATAAATAAGATTTAAATTATAGGTATTTATATATTTTTCTTACAAACGAATATTTTTTTATTTTTAAAAGTCACAAAATTGCATTTGATATTTATAGTTGCTCATATTAATGAAGACTCACGAAATGTAAAGGGTTAAAAATGGAACAATTTTAGACAGAAGTTGAAAAGCTTTCGAAAATAACTGTTTCAATTGAAAATCTTTTATTCTGAATAACTTTTATGTAAAACCGATGTTATATCGGTTCTATAATTGTTATTTTTCGGTTCTATGTTAATTATGTTTTCATGTTATAGGTCTAATTCTTATATTATTATTTTGATATTTAATAATTCCATTACATTTTTAAACAAAATTTTAATATGTATCTGCAAATAATTTCAAGCGTGTAAAGTATATATATATATGTGGCTGAAGAAAAAAGTTCTTCTCTTATTGATAAAAGATAATATTGAAACATTTTCTAATTTGTTTACTAATTCCAAAATTTATTTATTGTGTGTTATCGTCTAAAATGTTATTATAATTCAATTTTATAAGGAATATATTATTACAGTACATTATACAGGGAGATAAATAATTTTTCTACGTTCACCTACAATATATGATTGTTTTGGAATCAAATAATATCGGTTCTTCAGAATTGAAACCGAAATCAATATGTAATCAATTTCTTTATAACTGTTTCAAGAACTAAAACTGACATCATAACTGTTTACAATCCCTGATTTTTTAAATCGACGGGAATTCAATATTTGTTTACATTATGATTGCTCACAAGTTCTCAGGAATGAGAGAGTAATATTGATTTACTCGAGGAGCGATAGGAAAGTTATAAAAAATGTGGAGAGTACTCCTTACAGCGCACAGTGAACCAGAATTGAATTTTATTTGCTCAGACTTTCAACTCAACACATTATTTAATAATTCTTGAACCAATTAGTTTCATTATTTTTTAATTTTATTAAAAATATATAATTATTTTTCTGTTCAAGTTGGTTAAGATATTTTAATAAGTATGAGTGTCATATTACAATAAAGTAAAACTTCCAAATAAAGCCACATTTTGTCTATTTTAAATGACTTTTTAAATTCTTAATGATTCTTTCTTTAAATATCAATTTCTGTAGATATATCATGACCCAGTTCATTACAAGAAAAATGTTGTATTCTGTGTTCAGTAAACTTAAAATAAAATTGCAATTCTTTATCGAGCCATTTCTCTTTTCTTGTTATAAAATTCTAATGGATAGATTACTTTACTTCGTATTTTTGCATTGAACTGTATTTATTATAACACTTCCATTGATTTTCTATTATGTTCTGAATCCTTAGAAGCGTAGAATCATGCTGCCAAAGAATAGTTGGTTTTCGATGATTTTAAAAATTTGTTTATTTTTAACATTCTTCTTTATTCCAGTAATTATACTAGTAAACTACATTGTAAAGTAAAAAATTTAGAAATCAAAATGCACTTTCTTCAAAACAAAATGACATATTTCCTTGTACTCGTATAAATTTCTTAAAACATTTTGTGTAGAAAAGTATTGAGGTGTAATGTTTAAATAATCGATATTCCGTGAGTTATCACACATTTTTGATAAGTATTTTTGTACGTTCAATATTTGCTTACTGAAGAGAAACCAACGATTGAAATGTTCGAAATTGTCGGTATGCAATTTGACAAATGTTTATTTTTATGTACAAAATGCAAAGAAATGTGCGATTCCTATTCAATATCGCAGTTAATATTCCGGGTTTACAATAATAGCACATCATCTTCCGATTCGCATAACAACACACGTAAACACAAAAAATCTATTCAAACATTTTTATACATATATCGTGCAGTAAATAAACTCATAGATGAAGTAACAAAGTATCTCGAAAATATTCTTTAATAATTTCAACGAGAAGCTTGAAAATAAAAGAAACGTCATTAGTAAGATTTTTGCTTCGCTTCTATTTTTTCTATGGTTTTTTAATAACGTCAAAAATTGTTATATTTTGCCGATTTTATTTATTTAATATGCATTAAATGTTACTTTTTCATTCTCACTAAAAAAATATTCTACAAACGTATTTTTTACGTGATTTGCTTTCGAACTTCCTTCTCTTCATCCATTGTAATTTTCACTTTAGTGTAAACTATTGATGATTAATAGATTCTTGAATTGGTATCTCTATTTCTAACGTAATTGTGAAGAATGCAATATTTTATAATGTCCATAACAAAAAACAATTTTACATTTAACAGTTTATGTAAATCTCTCCATTTATTAAATAAAATATATGTATTAACACAGTAATTTGTTTTTCATCGCTTTAAGTACGTTTTAACGGTATAAAATAAGTGTTTCCATTATTGATCGGACCCTCATTAACGACCTCTTACTTATATTGTTTTATTTAAAGTAATAATAGGAAGAATACGTAGTACAAAAGCTGCAAATGTTGCATTTAGAATTATATTATTTGTTATTGCATATATTATTTCGTTTGTTAGTACACATTTACTTCTAAATACATTAGCATATATGTTAAGATTTGGCCGTTTGCATAATTATTGTAAAATAAAGGGTGCAAATAATTTTTCTATAAATAGTAGATATTTTACTTAGATATCATCGTATATTGGTAAAAAGATATTAATTTTGAGTAATCAATATTTTTATGCGTCCAATAATGGGAACACGTAGGTACTATACAATTTTTTTGAGGTTAGAAAATACGATTCAGCTGGCACGTCTGGCTATTACTTACTGTTTCTACTTCTACCGATGGCGAAGTCTCTTTTACATTTTCAAACTCGATTTTCTCGAAAACGAAGCATCATATGAAAAAATGTTATATTCTCTCTTCGACTTATTTTTTTATTAAGAATCGCCTCTCTCTCGGTAGTACTACGAATTATGGAACATTTTGTGTACAGAGTGTTCCGTAACTAGTGTAAGAACCGGAAATGGGAAGTAGCTGAGACAATTCTGCACAACAATTTCCTTTGCAAAAATGTCGGATGGGGAGCGTGGGCTCTTCGAGTTCGGACGGCCCTGAGCGCGCGGTAGGCGCGCGCCGTGATTGGTCAACGTTTTTCGTTAATAATTCAAAAACGAAGTCCCATCCGACATTTTTGCAAAGGAAATTGTTGTTCAGAATCGTCTCAGCCACCCCCCATTTCCGGTTCTTACACTAGTTACGGGACACCCTGTATATCTTTCGGAAATGAACACTTATTTAGTGCTTACTCATCTTCGATCTTGGGTTGTATATAATAAATACATTTATTAAATACATAGATTGTGTGCAATGCGTTTTTGAACTGTATACGGTGTACCGTAATTCATGGTACAGTCGAAAACAAGTCAATTCCACATATGAAAATATATAAAACATATTTAAAATAATAGATTTTGAAAATACGTGAAAATAAAATTTTGAAAATCAGAATATCAAAAACATTTTCCAATAAGAAAATATTACAGTAGCTTGCATATTTTCATAGTTTATTATCTCGAGAACGGAATTTCGTATAAAAAATTGTATTCGATAGATTCAACTTACTTTCAAACCAGGAATTAATTTCTTTTCGATTTCATTACGTATTATAAAACGCGCTGTACATTTTGTTCTAGATTTATTCAAAGAATGTACTGGAGAAGTTTGATCGTTTAACTTCGGAACAGCTTGTATAATACATTCATGTATTCGCGAAGCAAGTGGACGTGTCGATCGAAGCTTACGTCGCGTCTTGGTTCCATTAATTAATGTTAAAGAACTTGGTATGTCAGGAAGCTCGTTGATAATCACATCCGCGACGGTCATGTGGATCAATTTCCATGCAAGTTTTTGAATAAATGACTCTTGATGTAAATAAACTGGTAGAAACCTTAGCATAAAGTGCAATTGCAATCCCATTTAATGGATTAGGCGCCTAAAGCCACTTCTATTGTCAAGTACTCCTTCATCTTAGAGGCAAACAACACCCTTTGTTTACCAGATCGATGTCATACGACAGAAAACGGTTCGAAACGTCCATTATTGCGAATTACTCGGCAATTTAAGTTGCAAATTGTTTGCTAAATCAATCCAAAACAAGATACCGTGACGTTTGAACTTTGAATAATGAATAAAATCGGGGTTGTTACTTTGATTAAATTTTTAATTTAACTTAAATTGTATTTTTTTTAAGAAGGACATACGTCATTCGTTAATCACTATACATGTATACAGGGTGAGTCGAGACATTACTAATCGAGTCTAGTTATTGATAAAATATAATATTATAAAAATATAAAAAAAATTATGAATCAGTAAATGGTATACATTTGTTACGTGGGGATTTCATAAATTGTTCGATATGAGTGATAATATTTGAATTCATTTTAATAGTACAAACATAATAGTGATATAGAATAAGTGGAAAATTTCGATACAAAATTTGCAAATTTATTTTACAGCTTAAAATTCATAAAAAAAGTTAAAATTATGAATACTGAAAGTATTTGTCTTTGAGATACATTCGTGTCGAGTCATGAGCACGAAATATACAGGGTGTTCCGCCACCCATGGCAAAAACTGTAATGAGAGATTCTAGAGGCCAAAATAGGATGAAAATCAAGAATATCAATTTATTGATTGACGCTTCGTTAAAAAGTTGTTAAAAAATTAAATTAAAAAGTTTCAAATCATTCGGGAAAAAATATTTTTAGTTGCAGGGGTCAATTACAATCACTTTTAGTGAATAGACATACCCCCGAAATCCTACGCACTTTCGAGAAAAAAATTCCTTAACGAAAATATAATCTGAGGGCTGAAATGTTCCCCGAAATTTCATGTAAATCTTTGAAACATCATAACTCCTGAACGGATTGGAGGATTTTAATGTTTCAAACGGCAAACAACGTGTATTTTGGTGTAGAATACGTAGAAGTTCCAAAAATATTTGGAAAGTTGCTCCATAACCCCGTAAAATGAGAAAAACTCCATACAAATGGTCCAATTTTCAAACAGCCATAACTCCTACAATGGTGAATGTATTTCAATGAAACTTTTTTCTGAAGTAGAGCTTATACGTACCTATAAAAAAGTGTTAGGCAATCTTTCTGTAGGACGTCAAACAAAATTACTAACATTCAAAAACTAATTTTTAAGAAAAATCGGAGGTGTCTTAATTTTTTGGCGTTAGAAAAAATTTGAAATCGATTTAAAAGAAATATTTTTGGCTGCAGGGATGAATTACAATCATTTTTAGTCAATAAACATACTCCCGAAATTCTACTCACTTCGTAGAAAAAAATTCGAGAAGGTGTGAAATTTTTTGACAAAATTAAAAAATCTTAAATCGTTCTGCAAAAATTATTTTCGGTTGCGGGGGTCAATTACAATCATTTTTGGTGAATAGACATACCTCCGAAATCCCGTACATTTTCGAGAAAAAAATTCAGTACGGTCGGAACTTTAAACATTAATAACTTTTTAACGAAGTCTCCATCAACAAATTGGTATTCTTGATTTTCGTCTTATTTTGGCCTGTAGAATCTCCCATTAAAATTTTTCTCTGGGGTGGCCGAACACCCTGTATATGAGTATTAAAAATTAACGTAAGAAACAGAGCATAATTTAATAGCAATTTATTACACATTTAAGAACACCGAATGTAGCTGGTTAGCAACGACTATATCCAATATTTATTGTGAAATTATGCTTTAAACTGAAAGTCATGGTATCTAAGAGGAATATGGTTGAGCACATGTTTTATTGCATCTTTTGTGTTGAATTTGAACTATAGAATTTTGAACCCATCATGTATATTTTAATTTATGCAAAATCGAGTTCTTATGCAGTGTTTAAATGCACAATACTAACCTTACGAATGAGGTGGACGAATTTATAGTAACGTTGGAAGGGAAAATGCGGCATTTTGTTGGCTCAATTGCTTGCCGCAGTGTTGGTTGCCGCAAGATCGCGTGAAAAACACAATGTATTCTGATCCTGTCACTGTTTCGAGTTACAGTAGATTGTCTGGACAGGATTAGAAATTACTTGACCCGAATAATCGATAATGATTTTGGGACATGTATACTACTATCTCAATAACTATATTAGAAATTTTGTTTTAAATATTGCAGGATTTGAAGTTAATGATTTTGTACACACGTAAACACTTAAAATTACATATTATTCATTGTTTCAGGAATTTTCTTTGTACTTCATAAAATGTACACATGAAAAATTCAATTTGATACACTATTCGTAAATCATGACAATAACGATGTGAATATTTCAGATTTTGTTACACAATTTTGTGTTCCTTGAAAAGAACAAGCGAAATGGCCAAAGCGTAGAGAACATAACGCGAACTATTTTTACCGAAAATTGCTCTATTAGAATCAGAAAAGTACCATGATTATTCTACATCACTGTCCTCCAAAATGGTGGCAATCATATAATCTAAGAGAGCAAGACAAATAATGTTCAATGTAGAAGAATATGGATAACTCATTAATTTCTATTAATACATTGATTATTAACAACTATAGGTATACTTTTCATGTACATAGTTCACGAATACTATACATATAAGAATGTAATTCGAATATGTTAATTTGTCTTTTGTGGTGTTTTGTGTTGTATTATTTTACTTGCAAATATAACTTTTGCTCAGTTTGCGGGTTTCTGTAAATAATTTATTGTATTCGATAAATAACGAAAACAACCTTACACTGAATTCATTTAACGAAACAAACAACGATTTTTCTCTACTTCAAGAGTAAACATTTGTATTATTTGATAGCTTAAAAGATAGATCCATTTTTTAAAGCGTTTAAAAACCATTGTTTCACATTGTTAAAACCATTATGAGCAAAGTAAAAAAGATATTACTAATTTCAACAGAATCACGAACTTGAAATACACACATACATATGTTGTTACGTTATGCAACGCACAGATTCATCCGTAATATTGATTTTCTAAAATTGGCGACTCTATTTCAGCTTTAATTACGTTCAATCGCGCGTAATTAAAAGCGATTTATGAAAGACGCGCAGTATTTGTCGGCCCGTAACAACGTCTGGAAGATTTAATTTTTTTCTTATTGCAGTCGATTGCCTGGCGCGCGAATACAATTCGCGGCGTGCATTTCTGCTGCAAGGGTGAATTCGTGACACGGCATGAAGTTGGATAAATAGTGAGAAGAAGTCACTACGGGAAACATGGGGACGAATTATTTAATAGTGGGTGAGTTTCGCGAGTAATTGTCCCTTTTATGATACCGTTACGTTTTAATGAATCTTTGGAGTCGATTTATTTTGTTACTCGCGTTTCTGAATCGCTGTCTACATATAGTGTTTTTGAAGGAATAATTAAATGCATAAACGAACATCAACATTTTTAGGCAGATTTGAACAAAGATACATTCTAACGATTTATATTTTTTGATGCAAATTTTCTTTGGACCAATTTGTTTTTAAATTTTCTCTACTTGGAAATCTTCGATAAAAATATCAGGTTTTTTAGATGTGATTTAAGAATATAGACAAATATAGACATTTTAAATCGCAATGTTGCCTGACTTGTATAGAAGTATTATTAGACTATATAAAACTATGAATTGTTAGACTGAATAATAAGTATAAATTATTACTCAGTGTATAATAACTCATGATTTCTTAAACACTTGAATATTTCAATTTTTTTGGGATCTCTTCAGAAACTTAACTAATCTAATATGTATGTATAATATTTTGTGTTTAGTAACCTCTTATGTTATTAAAAACAATAATATCGTGAACAAGTAAAAGTATTTGTTTCACAAATAATTAAATAACATAATGTTATTTTGGTTATTATTATTACAAAATGATTAATTGTTTTACTCAATTTGAATTATGTAAAAACTTATACATGGTGCCAACTTATTTAAATAGTTTGTACATTATAATTTTTAAATTTAACTTTTGAATATACTCTTACCAATATTGTTTATTTGTTAATATTGGCAATATTTTGTATTATATGCTGTAGTTAATTTCCCGAAAGGAACCTAAAAGAGTAGGATAATTATGAATTATTATGCTCTAGATAGTCTAATAAATACTACTTTGATAATTGACAAACATAACTACTTGTCTGATAATTAACAAAGCAATACGGTTCAATTTACAGCTTTTACGGTTATTTGTGAATACAGTGAATTATTTGTTTATTATTAAGAATAATAGTGACTCTAGTGTATTTATCTTCGATTAATTTATGCTTTACGTAACACTGATAGCGATAGGTTATATAGTCGGAAATGTGATAATGCTTCAGAAGTAATATTTATTAACGATTTAAGAGTAATAGATATTTAAAAAATATTTCGTTTTCTATTGGTCCGCAAGATTTATTCTTTCCTCGTAATATTAACTCTATCCCCATACTAACTGCAATATATTAAGTGGACGACAATATATCGCAGAAAAAAAATAGGAGTTTAATAATAAATTTTAGTTGAAATTAAATTTAGTTTAGAAATTAATTTGTATGTATAGCAAACTTTTCAACAATACATGAGATTAATAGATTGCTTTGTAATATCATCAAATCTAAAGAGTGGGCGAATAAGTTGATAGTAAACGTTAAATAGACGCAGATGTTAACTGAATAAACAGAAATATTTACAGAAATTCCAACAGAAACCTCTTTTGATTAGCTAGTATTCTATAGAGTAACTCAGAAATAGTATTCATATGTTTGCAGCCATTTCCTACATTTTAAAACCAAGCAAAAGTCTTAATAAATATAAAACTTTAAGAACTATCATAAGAACTAATAAAAATTAATTCAATGTTACATTTACTGATAATTTCTTACTGCAATGTACTTTCAACATTCAGTGTGTGAGGTGTATAGGAAGAATATCTTTAACATTAAAATAATTTAAGTGTATCAATTTTGATTTGTTCTAAAATTCCGAAATGTTTAAATTATTAAAATGAAAGTTCGATGTATATTACGAGCAACAAATACTGATAACGATTCATGTCAACGTTTCAGCCACTATGAATTTAATTGCACAACCATGAAAATACAAACTATTTAATAATGAGTATATTGTCATCATTAATAGGAAACTATGCAGCCATGATATCTAAATAGTAGGAACTTTATTAAATATTGTAGAATTTGCAATAAAATCAAAAAGTGACATTTCAAAAGTACGAGAATAATTTATAATTGTTTTTAATTTTGTCAATCGTGGTGTACTTTTTAAAAATTTGGTTAAATCAATGTTTCGTAATCCGAGATAAAACAATACAAAAATATGAATACAAATTCTGTTAAAGCAATTTCAAACATAATGACATACAACTTGAAATTTAAACAAATATGAAAATAAGTCAAACGAGATAATTTCTTAACCTCGATTGAAATAACACTTTTTCGATGTATAGTACAAGTTTGTTATACTAATGCATAATATTTAAACAAATATCTTAGACAATAAATACGTTTTAATAAATTTGATATTAAAGTGAAATCAAAAACATTGCTTCTTCATTACAAATTGCAAAAAAGTATGTATACTGTCATAGCTGTATTATAGGGTGGAATCAATTAAAAAAAAATTTTTTTAACTAATATATTGTTCCACTTCAGTAATGCAATATATTTTCGTCCACTACCGTGTTGTCTAACGGGTGTCTAGAGTTCAACGATATATGTAATAAGAAAAGGGAAGAATTCGCAGCATACCCCCACATTGTGTCTTTTATGGTTTACTCCTTTCGAGCTCGCTAGAACTTTTCACCCCCTCGAAGCAATAGATCTGTGTCTGATTAGTTTGATACGAACGGAACGTGGTTTATCAATTGTGTGGGAGGCGATCGAAAACAGCAGAAAAACGTAGCGACACAGATCGAACTTACGATTAGCGTAGATAAGGGTAGAAACGTACAGGGTGTCGTTGGTGATAAAAGTGTCTTCGTTTCTCGAATTTTTACACACGAATTAATAAATCGAACGTTGATTCACTCTTTTCTGACGAGCCAGCAAAATTGGATAATGTGTGAACCAAGATTGTTATGAAAGTTAATTTATAGTTATGGAGATTATTAAATTTTGAGATATTTCGAAAGCAATTTCCTTTGTTGTATCTACATATGTGAACGATAGAAGTAGAAATTTTAACTTTGTTATGAGAATTTTAAGGTTTCTTTTGTTTGGACTATTATGGAATTAACTCTTAGACGACTTCTGACTCTTGGTTGATTTCATGTGTTTCTATGATAAATGTAGTTTCGTTTCTCTTGAGTAATTAATCTAGAAAAATTATATCATGTATGTTGATAGATATTTTGTTCCATTTCTTAGGGAAAAAGCAAGGTCTCGTTTGTGGAAATTAATTGTTAACTACCTTGAAATATTTGAGAATCTTGTTCGTGCAATTCGATTGACTATTATTAACGCAGGTATGATTGATGTTCTTCCAGAAGGATCAAGTAAATATATTGATGCTCTGCTGTTATATTAGGTATATTAGACTGATGTCCGTCCAGAAGGAAAAGTCATTTTAAGGATTTGGTTGATTTAAATTTGTTATATCTAAACTATTTATGATAAAATAATATTATCTTGGTTAAGCAACCACCATTTTTTTATGTGGTCCGATAGTAATATAAAATGTAATTTATTCAGGTCTAATAAACCATGCAGCGAAATTACAAAGATAGCAAAGAAGAGATATTTTATAAAACTGTTTCGATAGTAACACACAAGCACGGGAATTCCCCGCGACCGACTGTCGATCTTTTCTTGGGGGTTCCCCTACGGTCGATCAGTACTCCAATGTAAAGCGCCATCGTGCAGCCATAAGCGTGCCACATTTTAATCATTTAGTTTCTCACTACTTTTAATTAATTGCTTTAGTTTTTGCTTACATTAAATCTATAGGATTTAATAGCTCCACGTATTAGACAATTTATTGCAAATAGACGCGAACATTTTAGTGATATAAAATGCAAAAATCAAGTGGAAAAATTATTTCTGAAAATCAAGATATTAAATACATAGTTTTATGATACAAGTCAAAAATAAAAATATTAATCATAGCTACGAGTATGTTATTAATAAGTTAAAAAATAAAAAATTAAACTTCTTTGGTTTTGGCCTCCTCAACAAAAACAAGAATAGGAATACATGTTAGTAGCATTTGACAAATATGGAACACAGATATCTACTCCAAAAGAAAATTCTAAATGCATTTTAGCAAATGCTCTAGAAAACACGAAAAATCGTGATATAATTTATTTTGTAATCTAGTTAATATTTTACTTTAAGTAAATGCCCAATTGGCAATGAAGGGTTAATTTGAACTACATAGATTAAAACAATAATCAAAACAATTAGCTAGGAGTAAGGAGAAATCGAACAATTAAATAATTCTACACGGTTGACAGTTAATTTACACAAACATGATCCTGTCTTTTTTCTTAAACGTTTAAATAAAGTCTGTCAACACATATAATTTTGTTAGATTAACTATTAAAGAAGACCCAATACACCTTATTGTTTTAAAACTTATATAGTCTACACTTATGAGTGGAAAATAAGTATGATCCTTTGCATCGAATACAGTTAGATTTTTTTGTTTAGTCATAAATGTACATATTATACAAGGTGTTCGGTCACCCCAGGGAAAAAAATTTAATGGGGGATTCTAGAGACCAAAATAAGACGAAAATCAAGAATACCAATTTGTTGATTGAAGCTTCGTTAAAAAGTTATTAACGTTTAAAGTTATGCCTGTAGAACGGCAATCTGCGAACAGCTGCGTACGCGTGATAGTGGTTCTCACTCACAAAACTGTAAGACTATCGATACGTCAGTAAGTAGAATTTCTCGTGCTGAATGAGAACCACTACCACGCGCACGCAGCTATTCGCAGATTGCCGTTCTACAGGCGGAACATTAAACGTTAATAACTTTTTGACGAAGCCTCCATCAAAAAATTGGTATTCTTGATTTTCGTCTTATTTTGGTCTCTAGAATCTCCCATTAAATTTTTCCCAAGTGTGGCCGAACACCCTGTATACTACATATAGCAGTTAAACACAACATAAGTCAGGCCGAGGTTAATAAAAGAAAAATTGTTAGCTTTGAGAATTTGTTATGCATCGTCAATTGCACAGTTACAACATTAAAATATGGCATTGTATCGAGAAATACAAATCAAATGTAAGACTATACGAATATTA